CTGAACGTCTGAATAAATACTGCTGTCTAGTCTACCGTTCAAGAATTTGAACGGCTGAATGGAAGCCAACAGTGCCCTACTGGCACGTAGGAATGGGGACCACGGACCAGATTCCAATTCAAAGCCTACAATCAGAAAATCTCAGCACTACCGTCAGTTTAAATCTCAATAAATTCTGCAGGTTTTTCTCTGGAGCAGATACATTCACCTACCTGGACCAATAGCAAATTGAGTTATTTGACTCGTGCCAGTTAAGACTGCTGAAGTATTCACAACTCTGCTCAATGGGGGGAACTCACCAAAAAACACATTTCCCATCTTTCTGAAGGTAGCCAGTACAATGCATGCCGGAACGTGGGACCACTTCATACTGCTTTTAAGCTCTAGAGAGAGAAATACAAAGGCCAGTCCTCCCAGGGGAAAACTGTACCCAGCAGCAATGTGCTAGGAGCAGTCTGGTCTGGAACAAGCTCCTGTCGCTAACGTGACAGTCAGATGGTAAAACCATTTCTCAGGATAAAATATCTGGGAAATAGGCTGGTGAACAGTGAGCTATGGCCCAATGCCAGTTCACATATGAAGACAGCTTACAGACCTTGGACTTCTGGGAAGGAAAAACAGATGTTCCAATTTGCACAGACTGTATCTGCCTATTTTTTATCCACTACAGTTCTTAATGAAGCATCCAGCATCCAGTGCATTGGCATAAGGCATCCAATGAGCACTTATTGCTTGAAACATATTTATATTAGTCGATGACAGCCTGTGTCTTCTTTTCAGCTTACTTTTAAGCTGTTAAGTAACTCCACGATCTGGAGAAGGGTTTCTCATTATATGATGAGAGCATCTACACTTAAAATATATATACACATACGCATTTATTCTTGGGCGATATTGCCTCTGGCATTTGAAAAGAATGATTATATAAATGTGTTTTGATAAACAATTTTACTGATTCACTAAATGATCATTAGTATTAATATTATATTACAAACATTTTAATTACGCAAGAACTGCTGTCGGGAGCCAAGTTCCTCTCACAAAAGATGTTTGCAGCTACTGTCAATATAGCTGCTGAATGAGAAAATATACAACACGTGCTTAAAAAGAAAAACAAGTGCTTTATGGACCATCCATAGCCTGTGAATTACAGGCAAAATAATTTTTATCTATCAATATCATGACATTCTAGTATGTTCTTTTTCTTTTCCAAGCATATACCCACTACGATTGATAATCTGGAAAGAATCTAACCCCACAACTGCAACGTTGCTAAATGCAGAAGCAAAAGCATATCATCTCCCTGGTTAGACCAACCGTGTCGGCCTAAATTTGATGTCATGTGAGGGGATAATAGAGTGAAAGCTGCTATCTCCATAGCTGCTACTCTGCATGGAAAATTTTCACCCCAGATAACTCTGCACTAAAGATCAGGATTCTTGTGGCAGTACAATTACTTATCTAAAACACGTCAAATTTAGGTTACACAGAAGTATGACGATTTCCTGTCTAAAGTGGGTCAACTTAAGATTATGAAGTTTTAGCTTTTCAGGGAGAGGGGGGGGGGGGGGGGGAATGCAGTTTCTAGTTGTGTCTGCATTGTGCATTTTGCACTTCTCTAGTTTTCAGAACGTCTGTGTGTGCAAATTTTGGAAAGATTCAGGTTTATTTCTCAACAAAATATTTGTCTAACCGTCTACTCTTCAACAGTGTTAAAAACCTTATTTGTAGCTCTAATTTAATGAACAGTTACAGGAAACAGCTTTACTGTATGATACACTGCAGTGCAGACTGACACTAAGGATCAAGAACTACTACAGTGTAAAAGAAGGGATAAGGACTTCTGATACTGGAGTTTGAAACATAACACATTCACAGTCTCTTCATGCTATGATCAAAGGAAAAACTGTCATAGCTGGCCAAGTGCCTCTCCCCGTGCTAGCTCAACTACAGACCATTCAAATCTCTAACAATTTTACACAAAATGAGTTTGCCGATACATATTCTGAAGTATAAAGAATCTCTGGAATATTAATATTCAGTATCAGCAATTAGCACTGAAGTTTATGGTATGCATGTTTTAAGCAAGCATGTAAAAAAATTTGGGTTTTTTTGGACAGGTGGCTAACTTGCATATAAATAGTCTATAAAATCCTAAAGGAAGTTCAAATTAAGCATGAAAAACTTGGTTATATCCAAGTCTTTTAAGTAAAAGCTATTCCATGTTCTCAGCTTTACCTGATTAGTTACTTTAAAAAAAAAAAACCCACCACCAATAAAAACCTAAGACTTTTGTCAATTCAGTACAGAGAAATAAACAAGCCACAAAGGTAAAAAATTATATATAAATATTACAAATACAGGAAACATCAGGCAAATTAATCAGAAAGAAGGATATACTCTTAGGAAGACAGGCACATTCAATTTACTAGAAAAGAGAGGAAAGGAACATTAGCTTAAGTTTATCCAACTTTTACTAGTATTTTAATCAAATATCTCCTGCAATGGAATTCAAGTATGATTAATGACTTGAGCAGACTACAGCAAATAAAGATCAGACACATACTAATCGACTCCAACCTATACATATAGCATACAGCTATAACTCATCCTAAATGAACTAATAGGAAATATGGCCTAAGGCTACAATATGGTGCCGAGCAATGACAGAACCCTACACACCCACAAAGAAAAACTGAAGTGATAGCAATTCACTTCTACACAAAAATTTACACTTTTCTATGGATGTCCTTCTTGAGACCAAGTTCATATGTGGATACTGTGGTGTTTAATAAAGACTGCATCTTTTCTAGTAATGGATGCATTAGTAGTTTCTCCTGATTCAGAGCTTTTTTTCTCAGAAATTAACAGAAAATTAGTATGTGAGGTTTCCATCCATCTGACTGAAAATGACCCACAGGAAGGATGGAAGGAGGGAAAGACAGGCAGGCAGTGTAATCCCTTAAAACCTGCTCTTAGGAAACCAGCTAAAGTGGATGCTATACTGAAAAGATTACGGTTAGAAAGATACTTCACCCAAAGCTGCAAAGACAGTTTTGGTTCTTTTTCTCTGACACGCACAAGCAGGTTAAAAAAACAGAACAAAAAAAAAAAAACATATAAATCACTTCTAAGCAGTGAAATATGTCAACTAAAAATATTTATCAAAGATAGCATTCTTAAAATTCAGAAGTGAGAGTGTTTTCAAGTGTTAGCTCAAAACCTCATTTTGAAAGTCACCATGCCAATAGTGAGGCAATCTGGGAGAAAAATTACAATTCTCATAGAAAGTACAAGAATAGCTGCCAAATGCTGGTGCACTCGTTGATTGAGACAGTCAATGAAGAAATTATGTTAGTTTCAAATCCCAGAAACAAGCACTTGGGACTTGGAGAAAAATTGGAGAAATAACATTGGGCAAACAGAACTCAAATGAAAAATGAATTCTCATAGCCTCTGGAACAGTAATTTTAAAACTGCTTTACAAAGTCAACAGGCCACTGAAAAGCTGCTTTTATTTGATACCGTCTAAAAAAATTACACAAGAACATCTTACATTCAGATGAATACTTTCCCTAAACTTAATGCTTTTTTCTGAATTCTTTTATAATTCCTTTCAGAGTTTCATGAACTGAAAATCTAATCTAAAAGATCTTAACCCTGGCTCTTAACCCGCTCCGGAAGACTCATTTTCATTTCAGTTTGTTAATTTCATTATCTACCATTAACTTCCTTATTTCTTTCCTGTTCTAAATGTATGTTTCAAAACGCAGAGAAAACGGGTAATGAGTAAAAAGTGAGTAAATCTTTTAAATCTTCTCCCTGTTGGGTTTGACTTTCTCTAGCACACATTTTGATGTGCAAGCTTTTAAGATGATTTTTTTTTTTTTAATTTAAGCATCCTGCAAAAATCAACAGACCCAAGTCAACAGTCCAACTTTAACAGGCTTTAGTTCAAACTTGAGAACAACACACAAATTTTGGCAGTTTGACAACAAAAAATCTAGGTGCTAGAAAATATATAAATAATTAATACAATTAATTCCTGAATTCTTGGAATCATGCCAGCAATCTTACAGGCTTGGAATCTTGGAATTACAAGCATAACGAAACTCCTCACAGATCACAAATTTTTGGCAGGTAAACTCTACTGTAACTTCTCCAGATCTGTTTCCCAAATCCTGCATTTGATATCACTCTTTGAATGAAGATTTAACATCTTACGAAGTGCATGCTGTTGGACGTGTTATAATGTGACAACTACAAAATTTTACATGCTACTATAGTAGCATGTAAAGTCTTCAATATAATAACTTGTGCATATTCTAGAAACAGGGAAGTGTTCTGTTTCTCTTTGCCAAGGGAAATGACAACAAAGCAAGTACAAGGGTGGTTAGTATTCATAATGAGACTCATAAATAAAGGAAATTATGTGCACAGTTATTCATGAGGTACTTTTCCTCCTTTTGTTTACCATCCTGTAAAGTTCCGTTCATTAAAAAACAGGAAGAGAGAGAAAGGCTGAAGCAGTCAGGACCATCTTTTCTGTAGCATTTGTTTTACAAAGATTAGAAAGCAGTTTTATGTGAAAATATCAAAATACTACATCTTGAATATACTCAGTGAGTTGCACAGAATGTGAAGCAAAGATATTTTTGACTAAATTCTCCAATGCCTACAACAATTCTTGCAAAAGTCTTCTACGAAACACATAAACACTAATGCTACACTTTTAAAATTCTTCCTAAAAACTGAAGTTTCAAAACATTCTTAGTTTTTCAAAGTGGAACAGCTCATAAACAATGCAAAAAATAATCTGATTTCTGTGTGACAAACGGAGTTAGAAATTTAGGCAATAGTTTAATAATGCTCTCCACACTAAATATATGTCAGTCTTTTTAAAGTTAATTGAGAGGAAGACAACCAGTTATATAGAACAATTAAAGCAATTCCCAAGTCTCCTGTCAATTTAACTGTTCCTTATGTGAAAAGTGAATTACCTCCATAGAGATTCGCCTGTGTATCCGGTTTCTGAGACAAACACCTGTGGGAGACTGAACTTCATCAGATGATGTTCCAGAAGCTTGGTCACTTTCACCATCTGACCCCATTTTTAAATTTTCATGCACAATATCTAACAAAAAAAAATTGAAGAGAGTCAGTCAGTATTCCATAAACATCTCTCTCATACATGCAGAGAACAACTGTATCTTTACTATGCAGTGCTTTTTATGTCAGCAAAGGCTCATCACCGTAACAGTAGTCTTGACTTTTTTTTTTTTGGTATGGCTCAGAAACAATAAAAATGAAAAGGATTAATTTAAAAGAAATACCTACCAGGATAGAACTTGCACACAACTTCTACCATTAGTTTTCTTATTTGGTTTGTAGCAGCACTTAATATCCAAAACCAGACATAGTCAAACCCTAATTTTAATTCCTATAAGCCACCTTCCCTTCAGGTCTTGAGTTCCTGAACTCCCTCATTTAATCTTCTCTCTTTGCTGCTCTTGGATCAAGAAACCTGTGTTTGCAAAGGAAAACTGAGACTCTCAGAAAAATATAAAACAGAATTGAGAATATTTAAGATTTTCAAATTAGACTACCTGATGTCAGACATCTAAATGTACCTTCAGAAAGCTTAAAAAAAATCCTAAAAATCTTGAAAGGTATAGTACTATTTTTAGAAATGCCAAATATGGAAACTTTAGATATAAACATCCCTTGGGAGTAGGGGCAGGAGAAGGGGATGTATTCTGGCTGCCTCAGTAGAGGTCTACAATGCAAAAGTGGGCTCAGAAGAGGGCCTGACCTTCCTAAGTAATTAAGTGAAATTTACAACTTTACAGAGCGATTTACGTAGCCGACCATCGGAGTTGTAGGATACCGAAGACTTTTTTTTTTATGTAAACAGGAACTAATGGTTTCACCAAAATCTTGTAAAATGATCCACGTAAAAGAGTTTATGTATATTATGTCTTTTAAAATACGTATTACTCTTAAGCACCACAGGATCTTCCAGGCTCCAGAAGATAAATACGGTAATGGATGAAGAGAAGATCAAGACAGCATCATTAAGAGGCAAAACACTTGCAAAAGCACACACAACAGGAAAACGGTCCTACGAGACAATCCACTAAGATGAATGCTCTGTCACCATCTCTGAAATATTTCAACTCTAAAATACTATAAAAACTAAATACTTCAGATGAGGAGGTGCTTCAAAAGACACCAATTTCCCAGATCTCCCCTGTTCCTAGATATTATGCATGATCTTGTACAGGGTAAAACAGAACCTGAGGGACAACTTACAAATCCCAGAACTCTACCCCTAAAAATACTAGTATTAGCAAAATATGCAGAGCTCGGCTCATTCTTACCACAAATATACCTGAAAATATCATTTGCACAGAACCACAGCAACAACAAACAAAAGAGAGCATGCAAGTTCTATCACTAGTCAACAGGCAGGGAAGTTGGCTTTTCTAGAAAAAAGCCTTTAGGCCAAAGCTCAGTTATGAACACACCTTCTAAAAGGTCTGGCTATATCGGCTCACATAGAACCATGCAGACTTCAAAGGATCAAACTCTTCCTCAGTACAAAGAATTTCCTTTTTACAGGAAACAGAACGGATATAAAAAGATTAGCTCGAAAGGTATTGGCAGCACATAATTCAACTCCAAGTACCTTAGTTAAACGCACAAACTAAGCCTGAATCTTATACACAAAGTAAGGTTTTCAGAATGCACTGAGCAGCAGTATGGATCTAAATTGGATTCTAATTAAAAATTCTCATTGCATCAGAGTTTTCCCAGAAACTCATGCTCAGATTTGGACTGAATGAGAGGAAAAAAGTTGCACTATTGGTATAATAAGGAGAATCTGCTGGTTTCAAACAAGGTAAATATTCACCTGTGCTTCTAAAGGTGTGTAAGAGTGAACCAAGGGAAACCTCTTTGCCAGATCTGTAAGAAACCTCTCTCATTCTTCATAGTGACTTGATAGCTGTGTGTTCAAAAAAAATCCATAACAAGCTGTATGAAATTACTGCTACTAATACAAAAGTGTTACTGAAACCATTATCTGCAGCAAAGCTGTTGATCTCAGCACTGTTGTATCTGGAAAACAGCACGTTCACTATTTCAGGTCTTTTATAAATACTCTTTTTTAAAAGACTCTTCTGTGAGTCATGTTATCCATTTCAGCAATTGCAGCTCTCAAGATTCTGTTCTGTAAAATTACGTATAACAGCTACTGCTGTTCCCCAATCTATCTCAGTTAGTGTAAGCCTACTTACACGGCTCCAAAGTCTATTTTCTTTAAAGAAGCTAGAAGAAAGACCGTTATGTGAGCAACCTCTCAAAGTAAGGCTGATGAAGTTAAACGAAGAAATAATTGTATCATTTTTTGAAAAGACTGATACATACAACAAAGGAATCACGTGACCGATACCTTCAACAGTTCAACATAAAATATACAATGTTCAATTCACAAAGCATACATATTATGAAACTGCTATAAAATTACACCTCTTTGAAATGTAACATTCAGAACTACAAAGAAAAACCCAGCTGACAAGGATAATTCAACTATTAAGACGACCATCTACACAATAATACACAAATAAGCAACACTGCAATAACCAGTAATATAAAATCTTATATTTAGGGCAGATAATGTAGCTGCAAGAAGATTCAGCTCTCTCCAGGTTATGAATGAGAAGGCAAAGTGGATCTGTGCCCTGCAAGTCTATATTCTAGTATTTTAGACCTAAATAAGATGAAGGTCGGTCTATTTTGAATACTATTGTGATATAATGATTTGTGCTAAGTCTGGATATAAGTTATATACCCATAATGGACCAAAATGTTCTAAGCAGGATACCATTTGTAGCATTCAAAATCTATCAGGAAGCTCTTGCCTGAATTTCTGATGGGCTGAATATCCAAGTGTTCTGATCTACAAGGGTTCTCAGATGCTTTAAATATTAATGTATTATCTAACTATAGATACTTCAAGCTTTTTTTTTTAAATTTTGGTTGTGTTATCATCTAATATGAACGCGTCCTTTTATTTTCTTCAATTAAGAAAGCATTAGTTGAGCCTTACGTTCATTATTTTAATAGAATAAAAACAGGAATGAGGCACTAACCTAACCATTTAAGTCGTTTTACACAGGTGCACAATGATAATATTTGATCAAGCAATGATGAAAAATCACGCAAATACTTCCCTAATTGCACTAAATCTTTTCTATAGATGAGTTCACCTGCACCAAAGCCAGACTGCATGGTCTTCAGAGGCTTTAACGGTTCCATAATTTACTGAATTGGTTTCACCGAATACCATAACCACTGTCTTATGCAGATGTTGGATGTACTCTACATACCTAATTAAACACCCAGTGTGCTCTTGCCATGAAAAGGTGTGGATGACTACAATATAACAGGAAAACTACAGAAGCACATTTGAAAGAAAATGTTGTCATTTCAGTTGTGAGAAATTCAGCACGGAGGAAATTAGAAAACAAGGAAGCTTTAGTATAGCAAATGAAAGCTCTTCCAAGTGAGCTAAGATAATATCCACTAACTAGTCAGTAGCGAGTCAGAATGCATGATCTTTCAAACTTATTTCAAATGATTACAAAGAAAAATCACATGGTTTGCATATGCAATTCCTTCCAACGTGCACTTTTCTAGAACTTACTTTTCTATGAATTGGCTAAACTTTATGATTAGTTTTACTACAGACACTCCAAATTGAGGCAGGGAATAGCGAGAAACTCCCTTTGCTTTTAACATTATCAAACTACAAAGGCAGCATGGAAACCTCATTCCTTTTGATTCAAATGTTTATGACAAAGAAACAAAACATTTCCATAATTATAACAAAACATTTCCATAATTATACTAATGCAATTGGTAAAAGCATGGGTAAACTCTCCCCGAGCTGCTGCTCAGGTTCACCGGGATAGTTAGCTCCAGCTCAGAGTTGGCTTTGCTTATTCCATGTGCTTCTTCAGTTTTCCCAGTTACGCAAAAACAGAACAAGGACATCTTAAGTTGGCTCTGCATTCAGCCAGAACAAGTCTAATAGGGGTTTATTAGCTCTGGCTCCATAATGGACTGCAGTAGTTAAATGTTTCTGTAGCTGCAAGACTTCTTTACAAGACATACATGAGCTTAAAAAAACCAGCTAGACCTTTAGCCGCATCAGTGGCATGCCTAATTTACAGCTTGACCTGAGACATGCACATTATATAGTAGTATAATGATAAGCGAGTATTAAAATAAAAATGACTACAAATTTTTAAACAAAGATACACTCCTTGGCCAGAAGAATTTTTGTCTCCAAGAGAGACTTAACAAAATCTAAAGCCAACAGAAAAATTTCCAAGTAGAAAAATCTTTAAAATAGTTTGGGATTTTATACACGTTAACACAACAGCAGAAATTCATAATCAGTGCTCAGAGAACAAACAAACCAAAAACGTCCTCTCAGGCTTCTCAAGCAATTTTTACACTGAAAGTTTTGTTCAAAAGCAAGCAGCCTGAAGATGCACCTGTGACAGGTCTTGTTTTATTCTTTTTCTTTTTTTTAATCAAATAACCTTCCTTTTACTGACATCATTTTGTGCTATTTCAAAGGTTTCTGATTGCATGCTCCCACCACTAGAATACAGGAAAAAGTGGAAAGAAAAAGGCTGAATTAAGAAAGCAAAGAAAAAACAGTCTTATGTAGCGTGGAATATTTGACTATTTCATTTCTGACATCATTATCCCAATGCAGAAAACCTCAGCATCCTGCTAAGTAATGAGCATTCCCATATGGAAGGAACAAAGGGAGGAAAGATGAGAAGAAGGAACAGAAAGGGCATAGTGATTATACTTGTACACATGCACAACACCCAGCTAACATGTACAAGGAGCTTAAATTTTCACCAGATGACAAAGGTTAAAGAAGAAAAAAAAAAAAAAGCTTCTAAAGATTCCTCTTTACAGAAAGGAAAAGGAGAAAATGGAGGACAAGTAAATTGTAGAAAATTCAGACCTAGAGAAACCTAATACTGTAAAACAGTATTGCACATAGATGCATTAATAGCATCATTGCACCCAAAGCAAAAAGAGGTGTTTAACATGTGTACACACTTTAAAACTATTTCTTCCTACTTTAATGATACTGAAATTCTACAGGAATCTGTAGCTATTTAAAACATAGCATGGTGTTTTAAAATATATATATAAAATATTCAAATTGGGAGTTTTATTTATACACACAGAATCTGGCTACCTAAAAAAAATAAAACCAATAGCATGCTTCTGTAATACTTTCATATTAACATTTTCGGCTGAAAAATACTGCTTTGAGAAAATCGGAAAGTCATTAAAAGCTATAGAATTTTCTTTTGCAGAGATGATCTGAAAATCATAATGGAAGTTTTAAGAGGAATAACTTATTGATAAATTTGCATTAAAAATTTTGATAGTGGCATGTTTTTAAGGCAATACCAAAAAGGAGGGTACAAAAGCATACATCTCTGGTATTCTTGCACACCATTTAAATATGCCTGATTTGACAAATAATCCATAAAAGAAAACATTCCTGACCAGAAACACCTTCATTTTTAAGTATCCCCCTTTTTTTAAAAAAAAAAAAAAAAAAAAAAAAGTTGTCTTCTCATTAGATTCTTGGCAATTGCTACTTAAGCAAAGCTTGGCCAGGCAAAAAAAGAAAAACTGCGCAGAACTTGAGTGAAATCAGGAATTGAGACGGTACTCCAAACATGCACAACAAAACCTGTCTTTTTTGCTGTGATAGCAACAGCTGCTAAACTCCACTCAAGAGGAAGGAAGGTTCTTTTAAGATTGAACAGTAGCACAAACAGTAAAAAGGTAAGGTTTTGAATGTGATGTGTGTGATATTATAGTAGAGAAGGATGTACGTGGTTTGATTAGTACCTAAAAGAGTCATAGCTCTAATCTTGAAGGAGATCAGTTTATTAAATATCACATACTTCTAAAGGGGGGCAGAAGAGTGAAAAATTCACAGCATTCTAATTAAACTGTGACTTCCTCTCATTTTCTAGTATCAATTAATTAAGCATAATTTAACATAACACAAAAACAGGGTAAAACATTAATGGTGACTGGAGGCAGCAACATGACGAATTACTTGAAGGAGAAGAAAAATGTTTTAACTGTAATTTTCTCCACAGAACCACAAATATGGCTCAAGACCACAACAAAAAGATAATTACAGGCGAGTGGCCTTAATTTGTCACTGAAAGGTCAATTTGTTTCTTATACTGCTGAAAAAGTCTAAGGAATGCACCATTTTTTTTTAATTCCACATATGGATTATCTTTTTTTTTTTTTTTTTTTAAATCATACTCAATTTCTTGTAGCTCTCATCAATGCTTATCTGAGATAGACATACAGGTTCCTTACAAGCTATTAAGAAAGAACATTTTGTAACTTATGCATGTCAAACAAATTTGTGGATGATTTCTGTAAGCTCTTTTAATTGTCCACTGGAAAACCTTAAAGAGGCATTCAACACCTTAAACAGAATTTTCTGTAACAAGCTTAGAAAAAATTACTGCGTTCTCAGAGATTTATTAAAGCATCAGGATAACTGCATCTCTTGTTAAGAATCAATACAAACATTATTCTTTATAGAAAGATGAACTTAAATAAACAATGTAGTAAATTACCTAATCTGCTCCCATTTCTAGGCATTGCCATGAAAGAGCCGAGGCTGCCCCCTATGACGCTATGCGGTCTCCGTAAAGGGGGCTTCTTGAAAGATCCTGTGTATTGGTGGAGAAATGAGTGCATACTGTGAGACGTTGGAGGCCTGCCATTCTTCACAATGGGCTCTACAATTCATAAGGACCAAAACATTCATTCCCACAAGCAAGAGGAGGGTCAGGAACATGCCAGAAGAAAAAAAGAGAAAAGAAAAAAAAGTTACTAGACAGGAAATCACCACTCTGGTAAGATTATCTTTCATACTAACAGTAGACCATACTACTGCCACTTCTCTATTAGCAAATTAATACAAAACATAGCATTAAATATTACAGACATTCCATTTTATTAAAATCCGTCACTCTGAAGCTGGATCAGTATATGGCCCGACACATTACAGTATCTTCCAGAAATAAAACTAGATAAAACCTGAATAAAACTAGAAAGTAGCCCTTAACATTAGTACAATATTTTTTCTTCTGAATTAATGCTTTGTCTTTTTGCACAATGTTTCACCTTTACTGTAATTCAAATAGACAAGCTGCTGTATCAACTCGCATGAGCAGCAAATTCATCAGTAAGTAAGTATTCAGCAATATTCTCTTTCTCAAAATTCTTGAGGGTCACTAGTAGTGAGGCCGGGCTACTGGAAGGCCTTAGAAGGAAACATACCTGACTATACACACCACAGCAGTCATGCCATAATTAAGTTTATTAACTTAAAGGATACCAGAACAATTAAGGATTCAAGAGTTATTTTGGCTTTTCCATTGGCTTGCGTCTGAAAGAGTTCACAGTACCTAGACTCAAACTTAGGACTGTAAGACTTGCTCCACTATTGAGAAACACTTTCTAAAAAAGAGGAAACGTTAGCAAAATCATTTTAAAATTTGATACACAAAATTGTCAAGAAATTATGAGTTAGCAGGTTCTCAGCAAGTCTCACTCTACGCGTGAACTAGCTCGCACACTGCTCTGATACCGAAAGCAGTCTAACTGTAAAAGCACAGAGGATTGTACACACAAGGTTTGCTTTTGTTGTTTGCTTTGGTTAGTATTTTTTATTCCATTTTATCCCATGCTGCCATTGCAGGTACCCTTCTTTTGGTATTACACAGAAGATGGAAAAGCCAGCACCCAGGGATTCAGCAAGCGCTGCTCCACGCCCTGGAGCTGCAGGGCTCTTCCCAGAGGGCCAGGCGCCCTTGCTGGGACAAGGAGCAATCTGTGACGCTCCTTCAGCACCCCGATTCACGTGCTCACCTGAAGGGACCCAAAAATCCTGCTTTTCTTGCCAAAACAAGTATACAGCTAGAAGAACTTATTGTACGGAGAGCAAAATTTCAAGGGTGAAGGAAAACAACAGCAACTAATACTTAGTAACTGAAGCAAGACAGGATCTCAAGGGGAGCCGTCACCTCACCCCCACAAAATCTCATACCTATGTACAAAAGCTTTTTGGAGATATTGTTATGACTGCTCTAAAGAAAAGAGAAGTACATGGACAGAGCTATCCAAGGGTTACTGGCAGGCCAATAACCTTAAAAAAATAATTCTTCAAGATATTTGCATATAAACATGAATAATATATTAAGACAAAAATCACTTTCAGCCAGCTGCTGTAGGAAAAAGAAGAGTCAAAAAAATTGCTTCAGGCAGCAAACAGAATGTGAAAGGACATGTCAGCACTGCTGCAAGCCTGCCTGCAGCTCTCAGTTAACATCCTTCATAAACACAGCTTCAAAGAGGGTGAATAAGAGTAAAAATACACCATACAACTGTGTGTAGGTACATGCAGTATGATTGGTGTCTTCACCTTCAAAGCTCTGCACATATCTGTCCTAGATCTTTATTTTTGTTTCTAATATATTACACCATCTCTTTTGATTTAAGAGCAATATCAGTTTCCTTGTTCTGTACCTTCAGCACTAGATTTATCCTAGTGCAGTAGGGAGTAAATTCCTTCCTCATCAATTTTCTACTGAAATCTATGACTTCTGCAAGACAGGAAACCCACAGGTTCACATACAGCATCACTTCAACTGCATTAATTTTTTCAAATTAAAACATAATTTCTGCCTTCCAACTTTCTTACTAAACCCTGGCTTGAATTTCATCCAGTTTTTGGACTAAAAACCTCACATTGCATTTACACACAGGACTGAACAAATTAATGCTAACTTTGAAAATCCAAATAGCTGTTCAGTCATAGTTTGTTGGGTGGATTCTGTTCAGAAAGTTATGACTGGCTATAACTATGATGTTTGGTGGGTTTTATTAGATAGGTGGCATAATTTTGAAGTTAAAAATTTATTTCTGTTTTGTACTTATACGAGCAATATAGAATACTAAGCACACATTTCTGCTTCGTTATAATTGTTTCTAAAACTAATTTTTAAGAAAAAAGAAAACCAACTAAATGTTTTTTCCAGTGCAGATTTGAGAAATCTCCCCCTCTAACCAAAGCTTGTTACATGAACCAAGAAGTAGGGGGTTTTTTTGTGTGTGTGGTTCATGAACCAAGAATGGGGGGGTTTTTTTTGTTGTGTGTTTTTTTTTTTTTTTTTTTTTTTTTTAACTCTAACGGTAAACCTAGGAAGAAAGTAATCAGAACATTTTTGAATATGGAAGTGTACTGTTAAGATAACTTAAATAATTTTAGCTCTGCTACTAGTGTCAATAGCGTCACACTCTGGAGGGTAACAAACACCTAGAGCAAAAGGTTGAGACAGACTGAAGCGTATTGCACGTGGTTAGATGTAATAAGCACCTCACAAGCAAAAAAATGCAAATTCTGCACCAAAGACAACCTTGCTTTCCTTCTCCTAATTCGAAACTGAAGATGCCAAGGCACAGTTCAGCCAGGGTCAGAGAAGTACCAAAGGCAGCACAAGGAAGGGGTAGGGTACAAGGCTGGAAGCAAAACCTTGGCTTCCCGCGGCAGCGAGGCGGTATATCCCCTTGGCCGCGTGTCAAATCACACCCTAGAGCTATACATCTGCTATCGCTCAAGACTCTAGTCTCATTAACCACACAGGGGTGTATGCACACACATGGAGTATGGCTACATTCACACATGTACAGAGCTGAAAACAATTTCCCTTGTTTGGTATGGTTTTTGTCTATTTGTACTAAAATTAATATTTCTCCCTTTACTACGTACCACAGAAAAAAGGCCAGAATTTAGGAATGCGCCGAATGACTAAGTAGGGATTAAGTTTTATGTTCATTATTAAGATAGAAGGGTGATGAACAAAAATGATTACTTCAAAAATTTTTGTTTTCCTCATGGCTCTGGTAGATTTGCATATATTTTAAAGCTGAAAACTATAAAAATAAAATTCTTAAAATATTTCTATATATAAAAATGAGTGCAGATCAATGATAACGGTAGACACAGATAAATTCATAAACAAATTTATATCAAATGAAGGGCATATGCTTAATATATTAAGATCCAGTTTTACAGAAATAACTTTTGCCGTCATAGCCTTCCTCCATTATCGTAAGTGCTGTTCTAAATTATAGAGCCCATTTTAAAATTTAGCAACAATGATTTAGGTCATGTAGTAGGACAGGCATAACTGCTGAGAGAATGAAATGAAGGTTACAGGAATTCGCAAATTATTAGCATGCTTCTGATGAAGAGAAGTATTAATAGTACTTGATTACATTTTTTCAAATTCTAGTGCACATTAATTTGCAAAAAAGAAGGATCCTAGGGCCTGCATTTTTTAAAATGGTAAAATATGCAGATTTATGGTCTGAGAAAGTATTTTTGCTACACATAACTAGGTTTGCATTGTGGTAGGCTACAAGCACTTAAAAAAATGGTCACACATACTTTCCTTCCCCACTCCCCTCCCGAAGCAACAGCAACAGCTAAAAGTTGGGACAAATACTCAAAATGATCACCAAGCAGCCTGTTGCTGGAAATGAACTTACAAGACTGTTTATCATTAGCTTTTGTGTGTTTAAAAGATATGAGGTTTAAAGAAGGTGCTTTCTAAAAAAGTATTTACTTCCCCCTGTCCAAAAATCCCTAAGTACCTCTTCCAAAGTTGTGATTTCACTCCATCCACTTCAAGAATTCATTTTTTTCAGAATTATTAATATTTTGAGTCACTACACTTGAAGGCTTATGGTGCAGTCCTCATGATGTGGATTTAGTGTAGGTGCTTTGTCTTAAATAAGATGAGTCAAAACTATTTGTAAAAGTTATATACCTTTATTATATAGATCCATGAACTGCTCTTATAATTAAATCTCCATGATTATAGGTTTAGTTTGTCTTTACAAAGATGTTTCACTACATAAAAGTCACTGATATACCTACAGCTGGTATCCTTGTACTTATTCTTGGTAAATATAATTCAGTAACCACCCAAAAGCTTAGCTAACATGAACTTCTTGGAGGGAAGGAAGCGTTTTTGGTATTACAGTAGATGCTTTTACGGCACTATCAGTTTAATATTCAGTAGCTGCCAAATGACAAATGATAGGAATGAGACGGGAATAGAAAGGCACCAGGAAACCACTATGCTGTCGTGTAAATGCATGGGGCTACTGCATTTTAAGTATCATACAGAGTTCTGGTCTTCTCAAAAGGGCTCTCAGAAATGCAACGAGGATGATCAAAAGTGAAAAACAGCTTCTGCGAAAAGAACGCCTGGGCAGCCTAGGGCTCTTCAAGCTCAGAGAGAACCACAGAAGGTGTGTCCAAGCCTACCGCCTTGTAAGCTGGCTGCAGAGAGCAACTAGGGAGCTGCTGCACCCAGCACCCTTCCAGCACAAGGGCTGGGGTCCCCGGCAGAGCTGGCGGCGGCAGGCTAAACACACCGCACGGAAGTGGCTCTGCACAGCACGCAGTCTGTGGAAACGCTTCGCCACAGGATGTTACCAGCACCAAAGTGTACAAGATTGAAGGGCAGACTGGACAAGAAGCCTCCTCAGGGTTACTAAATACACAGAAACAGCTCTAGTTCAGGAAGTCTCCGACGCGCAAACCTGGAGAGGGGAAATATTGCTATATTTTGGGCTCTAGTCTTGCACTTTCCCTTAAACATCATCATCGGAGACAGGAGAAAGGCTATACAGACTTCTAGCAACTCTTGTATCCTAAGACTTT